ACCTCCTTTCAGGGAGTTGTGGAGGGTAAAGGGCGGGAGGGTGGGTTACCTCCTTATGGGTGGAAGTTGTAGGGTAGTGGGTGCTGTGTGGTGCAGGTACTAAGCCAGTGATGGTGGGTTTAGTTTGCTGTCCCACCTGGAATCAATCACATTCAAAAAGACCTCTGAGGTCAGCAAGTCCAACCTAGAACCTAGCACCACCGTGTTCAGTCTCTCCTTAAATAAATCTTTAAGCTTAAATGGTTTCTGAGATCATCAATTCCAACCTGTGACCTAACACCACAATGTCAACTAGACCATGTTTCTCCTTGTACAGACCATAAGCTTAAAAGACCTCTGAGGTCATGGAGTCCAACCTGTGACCTAACACCACTGTGTCAGCAAGACCACTTTCTCCTTAAGCAGTCCTTAAATTGTCCTGGGGCAGAACTTGGTGGTGGGGAGAACAGTGGCTTCTTCCCAACCATAGAGTGGGTTTTACAGTCAGGAGGAAAAACTATGTTTAGCAGAAGGAAAGGAACTACTTATTAAACAAGGCGAGGTAAAGGCAGAATGGCAAAACAGGGAAGTTTTCCCTACTTTTTCCTCCAATTTTTTTCCCCTATAAGGTTTTTTCCCCTCAGGGGAGTTTTGTAAATGCTGCAGTTTGCCACCACAGTGCTTATTGCTTAAAATCCTACTTTACAGCATGGGCATTTTAGGAATAACCTTGGTTAAGCTTTTCTGCTCCTTTTGTGAGCAGAAATTGCGTTTCCCATCATGCCAACCATTCAAGAGGAAAATTGTCTCCTGCCAAACAAAATCAGTTGAAACACCTGTGATGTCTTTAAGCTGAGACAGGGGAGATTCAGACTAGATATTAGTAAATAAACTTTCACTGTTAGTGTGTTCAGGCACTGGGATATTGCCCAGGGAGGTAGTGGAGTCACCATCCCTGGAGGTGTTAAAGAGGTGTCTGGATCTGGTGCTGGGTGTTACGGTTTAGGGATTGCAGCGGTGGACGTTGGACTTGATGATCTTACAGTTCTGTTCCAATCTTGATGATTCTATGCTGCAGTTAGGTTTTGCTTGAATTACAGAATACAAAAGAGGCTGATACTCTCTTCTGATGTAGACCACTAAAAGGTGTTCTGTAACATGCTCCTTTTTCTTTCAGGTGGAAGAACTCACTAAGGAAATCCACACTAGGAAGGAGAAAGATACATGTAGTGTAGAAGTACAGACAGAGGACTATGCTGCGTGGTCACAAGCAGGTAGAGAGGATGGTGACTGCTTAAATGGGGGTCTAGAACAGTGTCTTCTTTTGAAACTTCTTTTAAGTATTATCCTTAGCTGAACAGAACTCAGTAACCCTGACATGATCTCTCAGACCATTTCCTGTGTATTCAAGGGTTTATCCAGGTTAAAATGTAGCTTGAAGTAGCAGAACTGATTGTCATAACAGTCTGTAACCTCTTAATCTTAAATGTTACAAACACCTGTGTTTTACAAGTTTTTAAAGGACATTAAAACAAGGCATAATTTGTTTAGTAGGAGCAGAATAAATTCAAAGCAGAGGCACTGCTTAATACTTGATTTTCATTAGACTGCTACTCAGTTGCATAAATTTCCAGTTTAAGATTTAACATCCTTAAACTGCATTGGTGAAATATCATTTTGCTGTTTTATGTGACTTCAAGTTTTCTTTCCTCCTCCCCTACAGATTACTACTACTATGAAAATTACTACAATCACACTGATACTCAAGATTGTGCATCTGAACTACCAGTGCAGCACAATCATGGAACCAAAGGCACTGAGCATAACTCCACAGAGGAAGCACAGACAGGTGTTGACGCTCCTTTAAGGACAGATAGCACCAAAGCTGCTGAAGGTGGAGAAGAGGAAAATTTCATCCAGAATTCACAGGTCTTAGAGTTGTTTGGGGTTTTACCAGTTTTGGAAGTCAGCATTTGTAATGTTTCATCTAAAAGATGTGCTTTTTGGTCTTTGTATCTTTATATTAGATGAATTTTTATGATGGTTTGGTGCTGGTGGTGCAAACAAACATTCTTGTACTTCAAAACTAGTTCTTTTTGTAGTATGTTCCATGTGTAGCGTACTCCTAGATTTGGGTTTTGGTGTTTGTTTGGGATTTATCAAAGGCAGATATGTCTTACATAGCCTAGAAAGCAACATATAAGGAGAAGAAAGTTGTTGGCAGTGTTTATTTTGTTGTGGGTCGGTTTTCTTCACTTCTATCTGGCCTTCTCTTAGGCCCCTCACTTAACTGAGTCTGTGCCTTAGCATCTAGTAACTGAAATGGAGCAGAGAGCAGAAATCTGTTTTAGGAATGTATGGAAAGATACTCCTTGTGTGTGTTTTTTATGTGAACCACATGAATAAAAATTGGGGAAGCTAAAAGAGACAGCATGAAGTCTCAGGCCCCTTGAAATCAGTAGGAATTTATGAGTAAACAGCAGCCAGATTTTTGCCTTCTGAAACAATTCAAGTCCATAGAGCATTTCCTTTTGTGGAAGAAAATCTAATTTCTTACCTTCTGGTACCAGGAAGCAGAAGATACTTCAGTACCAGAGGGTTCTTTAGCAGAGAGCTTGAGAGCTGCTGCAGAAGCTGCTGTTTCTCAAACTGGATTTACATACGATGAAAATACAGGATTGTATTATGACCACAGCACTGGATTCTACTACAATGCGGTAAGGATCACTCCCAAAATCCTTGGCATTTTTAATCTGTTTCAAAAGTTTCATTAGTGAGATAAATGGTTGATGTTTATATAAGCAAAGAACAAGGATCCAAGCTGATGTCATGTTTTGAAAAGCAGGTTGCTGGAGATGCATAGTAGTGGAATTTTATTACTGAGGTTTTTCATTGTTTCAGTTGAAGATAGCAGGCTGAGATACAAATTTAGGTTTTAATTCAGTTCTTTTTGATGTCTCCTAGATCTTTAAGTTACATTGTGGAAATTTTATACTGTAAAGCTGATCTGTAACTCTTTCAGCTTGAGGTATAAGATGATTTCTTTAGAAAAAGACAGATTGCTGAACTAAGCCAGTGGCTTCTCCACGGTGAAAAGTGTGTTGAGAGAAAATACACAAAATGCTTGTGCTTTTACTTGAGTCCTGTTACCAACTAGTTTGATGCTACAGGAAAGAAAATACGTCTTTAAAAAAAGATGTTAGATGGTGGATCAGAATTTCTTAATGGTTGCTTTCTGCTGTATGTTTCTCATAAGAGCTTTTGCGAAGGTCCTATGAGGTATGTGTATAGGTGTATTTAGGTATGTACATAGGTAGATGGATATATACACTGTCACAAATCCCAGTGGAACTACTGTGCTGAAAAAAGAGGGTTTGTTTGCAGTGTTACCAGCTCGGTTTAAAAAACTGAGGTGTAACAGAACTACTTGGTTTCAGAGAGGCTTCTGAACTTTGTTTCTAAAGTCTTGAATGATACCATTGCTCTTGAAATAGTTTGTGGATTTAGTCAGATAGAGGGGCTGGTCTGTTCTGCCATGCCTGCAGTGAGAGGAGTAGAGGAAATGGCCTTAAGCTGAGGCAGGGGAGATTCAGATAACATATTAGAAAAATCTTTTCCCGGTTAGAGTGGTCAGGCGCTGGAATAGGCTGCCCAGGGTGATGTGGTTTAGGGGTTACAGTGGTAGTGCTGGTGGATAGTTGGACTTGATGATCTTAAAGGTCTCTTCCAACCTTAATTTTTCTATAAGTGTTTGTGGTTATGGATTGCAGCTTATGGTACAATTACACAACACAATTATCTTTTCTTGTTCAGCTGCTGTTCTGAATTACAGGAAATGTTATTGTATTGGGTTTACTGGCACAGTTTTGGTAGTGGAGTGGGGAGCTCTGTGAGAACAGGTCAGGGGCTGCCTGGACACAGCTGGTTCCACTGCAGGGCACAGCTAAGCTGTTAGAGAAGCTGGAGGTGCCACTCTGAAAGTATGTGTAAGAAAGGGCATAATGCTCTATAGTGGAGTGTGTTTGAGGGGGTAAGTTTGAACAACAGACCTGCCAATGCCGAGGTCAAAGAAGGTGTAGGGGGAGGTGCTCCAAGCACCAGAGCAGGCAATTCCCTGCAGTCCATAGAAGAGGACCACAGTGGACCACACTACAGCCCGTGGGTGACCCCACACAGGAGCAGTTCCTTAAGGAACTGTGTCCTGTGGAGAGGCCGTGCCAGAGCCCAGAGCAGGTTTCCCTGGCAGGAGCTGTGGTTTGTGGAGGACCCAAGCTTGAAGCAGTTCTTGAAGGTCCCATGCTGGGCTGGGGGGAAGGAGCAGTAAAGAGGGACCGTTATGTATTGATCTTGGCCCCATACTCTTCACTTCCCTGTGCCGTGTTGGGGAAGAGAGGTAGAGGAGCTGGGAATGAATGCGTGTAGTGGAAAAGAGACAGGAAATGTTTTTCCTTTGTTCCTCATCTTCCAGCTCTAATTTAACTGTCAGTAAATAATTCATTTTCACCAAATTGAATCTGGCTTGCCCATGATGCAACTGTAGTGCACAGTTCTGGTGTCCCCGACGTAAGAAGGACATAGAACTGTTGGAGCAAGTCCAGAGGAGGCCATGAAGCTGATTAGAGGAGTGAAGTACCTTCCCTGTGAAGACATGCTGAGGGAGTTGAGGCTGTTCAGCTTGGAGAAGAGAAGGTTGCATGGAGACTTCATAAAAACCTTCCAGAATCTGAAGGGGCTCCAGGGAAGCTGCAGGGAGACTGTATTAGGAACTGCAGTGACAGGACAAGGAGTAATGGGGAGAAATTGAAAGAGGAGAAGTTTAGATTAGGTTTTAGGAAGATAATTTTCCCTGTGAGGGTGGTGAGACACTGGCACAGGTTGCCCAGGGAGGCTGTGGCTGCCCCAACCCTGGCGGTGTTCAAAGCCAGGTTGGCTAAAGCCTTGAGCCTCAGGGCAAGGGGTTGGGACTAGACAATCCTTAAGGTCCCTTCCAACTCAACATTCTATGATTATATGATTCTGTGATAGTGATCTCTCTTGACCTATGAGCTTTTCATCTTACTTCCTTTCCCAGTCCTGTGGAGAAAGGAGATTGACAGAGTGGTTGGATGGACACCTGGTAACCATCCAGGATCAAACCACCACAGTTCCTTAGTGCATTTGAGTACATTTTATTAAAGTTTGAATAATAATTAATCCTTTATTAACAAGGTACATCTTCCAACAGTGTATTTACTGAAATGATAACCCTGTTCTTCATTTTTCACGAAGGAAAATCAACTGTATTATGACCCAGCAACTGGAATCTATTACTACTGTGATGTGGAAAGTGGCCGATACCAGTTTCACTCAAGAGTGGATCTGCAGTCTTACCAGACCTCTGGTACTCGGCACACCAAGGATAAAAAAGGGAAAAAGAAGAGAAAAGAGCCAGAGTGGAGTGCTGCAGATGAGTATAAGGTAACTTCAGAAGTGACAGGGAGAAAATCCAAAAGCTGTTGGTTTTTTTTAACGTGGTGCAGTTTACGGGTTGTGGGGCTTGGTTGTATGCAGAGGATGTATGCTTTTTCTTTGAACTATTTAAACATCTTTGACCTATATACAGCAAGTTGCTAACGTGTAGTTAGTGTTAGAATAATTTTCCCATTGAGTGGTTAAGGCTCAAACTTTTTTCAATACTGTTTTATTGCAATGCAACTCTAAAGAAGTCTGAAATTGAGTGTCTAAAACTGAGTGTTCTGTTGAGCAAACACTAGAATGAATTCAGGGTGCTGTGTGGGCTGGAGTTACATTTAAAATTCAGTGTTAACCTTGGTGTCTTGGTTTTGGGGGCTTGGCTTGTGGTTTCTTTTTGAGTTTTTGTTGTTGGTTTTGGGTTTTTTTCCAGATTCACATGATGAATCAAAAAATGACAGTTTTGAAAACACACCCATATATACAATCTCTTCTCTGTGACTGCATTCCAAAGCTCATTCCATTGACATTTCACTGTATCTCTACCACCATTTGGGATTGGGGAAGTGTCTTTGAAGTGCTAATTTCTTTGCATATTACACTCTCCTGTTGATACTTTCCTTGGTCAATACATTTTCATTGTCCTTAATGTGTGGATCATAGAATCATAGAATTTAAGGGCTGGAAAGGACCTTACAGATAATCCAGTCCCAACTCCCTGCTCTGGGCAGGGACACCTCCTCACTAGATCAGGTTGCTCAAGGCTTCATCCGGCCTGGCCTTGAACACTGCCAAGGTTGGGGCAGCCACCACATCCCTGGGCAACCTGTGCCAGTGTCTCATCACCCTTATAGTAAAAAAAACATTTTCCAATATCTAACCTAAACTTCCCCTCCTTCGATTTGAATCCATTACCCCATGTCCTGTCATTGCAGTTCCTAACCAAGAGTCCTGTAAGCTGTACATCTTGATAAATCCCATTTGAATTCATTTCTATTTTAGCTTATAAAGAACATACATTCCTTTCTCTGTGTGTTAAGAAAGCATACCCTAAAGTACATAGTGATTACTCACTGTTAAACACCAAGAATTTTGATTGTAACACAGCTGTTAAACCCCAAGAAGCATTTCCTCCATGAACACTTACTGATGTTGAATCCTATTACGCACATTTGTTTCATTACTTAAGATATAATTGAATGTATTGATTTCTCCACTTTGCAGTGCTCCTTCATTTGCATTCTTTCAAGCTGTTGTTTTAAGCACTGCATAGTTTCACTGTGTAGGCCTCAGACAAGCAGACTGGTTGAAAGATGAAATAATTATGTTACTGTATAGGTATTCTTACATAATAGTTCCATAGCATCAGTGCAGAGTTAAAAAAAGTTCTACTCGGGAGTGAGGTCTTCCGAAAGACTTGAAAATGGAAACTGTTCATACTAAGAACAGGTGAAATTAGGTTAAATGGATAGTGGTTGTTGACCAATTACACATTTTATGAATAGATAGTGGCTAATGTGGGAATTTCTACTCCTTGATGAAACATGAACCATTCTATTCTGAAGGCTTGAGCAACAACAGTAAGTATAAAGATCCCTTAGACTTAGACTCAGAGTCTAAGATACTAGATGCTTCTACTATCTTATAGCAACCTGCCAGTGTCTGAAGGGGCTCCAGGGAAGCTGCAGAGGGACTCTTGGTTAGGAGCTGCAGTGACAGGACAAGGAGTAATGGGACTAAATTGAAAGAGGGAAATTTAGATTAGATATTAGAAATATTTTCCTGTGAGGGTGGTGAGACACTGGCACAGGTTGCCCAGGGTGGCTGTGGCTGCCCCAACAGTGTGCAAAGCCAGGTTGGAAAAATCCTTGAGCAACCTGCTCTGGTGGGAGGTGTCCCTGCCCATGACAGGGATTGGCACTAGATGGTCTTTAAGGTCCATTCCAACCCCTTAACATGCTGTAATACTGTGAAACTTGAGAGAGGAGCTAATGCAGTGGAAATGCACTTTCACCAGCATCCAGGTCCTGTTCCTGCTGTTTGCAAATACTGAGTTCTAATTCTGCCACCTCAAAAGGCACTGTTAATACAGAACTTTACTCATCATGTGTCAGGAAAGCGTTAAGAAAAGTTTGTAGGGACCAGTCTTTGTCATAAACTAATTAATAAGTCTCTTGGTAGTTCAGGACAGAACTAAATTTATGTGTTGACCTAAATCAACAAAGTGCATTTATGAAAGTTCAACAAGTGTATTATACACAAAACTGTATTTTATGCAGCGTATATAGCTTCGACCTAGCAAAAAAACGTTGACTACTTTTTGGGTTTCCATCAGTCTGCTGTCATCTGATTATACTAGAAACAGCAGTTTGTCTTCAGCTTATTTTGTATAGATAAAATAGTTTTATTTAGATAGTCTTGCTAACGAATCTTTTGTGTGAGACATTCACAGTCACGAGGTAGGAGGTAAACATCTGTTCTTCCTCATGTGTTTTTCTGATGGTGAACCAAGTACTTTGCTTTATTCATGAATTAATTTGTTTGACCAACAAGGTAACAGGAAAACCATTTCAAATGTTCTGTAGTGCACGGATTCTGCATCGGTGTACACGAAGTGAAGGTTAATGCCAGAGTAAGAATCAAGGCCTTTTTTGTGGGTTTTTTTTGTTTTTAAAGAAAAAAGAGAGAATACAAAGTGAAACATAAACCACTTGCTGTGTATTTTAAACTTCAGAATGAAGTTAGATTTAGAGAAAACAAAGTGCCATTACTTTATTCTTGTTTTGTGGTTATTAATAATATAAGAAATTCATTCATTAGTTTAAAAAAATCCATGTTACTTTAGTATTAAAGATTAAGATTTACTAAAAAGTAAGATTGTATTTTTCTGTTATAAAACTGAAAAATTACTTTATAACCTGCACACTCATGTCTGATATTGACAAAGTCACTAATTAGTCTAATACACCCCTTGGACTTCATCATTCTTGGATGAAGATGAGATGGTTCATAAGAATGTGTCTGTGAGGCAGGGGAAGACAGCAGTAGTTGCAGGCCCTCAAGTAGATGAAACACTTGTTAAACTTGTTTTCTCTCTCAGTTAAAGGATTAAATGTAAACAAGTTTTGATAGATACTTAGTGTATGAAGTGGCTTCTATATGATGTAGGAAGGGCTTTACTTTTTTTTTTTGCATTTAATTAGGTTTTTTGCTTTGGAAAATTGAGTCTTGTGTAGGGTGGAAGAAAGTAACTGAGTACTTGTAACATGGTGTTAGCAAGTGAAAGCTTAGTCATCTGATTGAAGGAGTTATTTTTAACTGTTTGGAAATGTTTCTTAAGTAAAATACTAAGTCTCAGATTAATATTTCAAATTGGGAGAGTCAGTGCTAAAGATCTTCTGTTCAGCCCTGTAGGTGGGTGTTGGTTCTGTTATGTCACCTACTGAGCTTCTTGCAAAGACACTATAGACCATGTGAAAAGTTGTATTTTTGCGTATTTCTGTGTTTTGTATAAAATAAATTCAGAAAAATAATAATTTAAATGTTGCAGTTCTTAGAACTGAGCTTATTATGGTCACAATAAGTTCTAATTTGTAGGCGTGCTGAAGAATGTCAAGAACATGCATGTTGATTAGGCATAATACAGAAAAATGGAAGTTTTGAAAGACAAAATGTCTTGCTCTGTCACAGTAAAGCAAAAGGTATAGTTAAGTGCTTAAAATACTTTGAACTTTTCATTAGAAACACTTCAATGCCTGTGATAATGTATGTTTTCTAAGTAGGACAGTATGCATTCAAAAGGTCACTGTAATCAGTAGTTTGTGGCTTGTTCTTTATAAAGCAAACTCATCAATTCCACTCACACAAGCATGATTTGTCATTCTTGTAAGGTCACTCCTCATGGGATACATAAAAATCCTGATTTCACTCGTACCTGTGGCTGACTTTGTCAGGGATGCAGAAATATGAACTAACTCAACTCTAAAGTTAAGAAATAGTTTATTATTGATCAGATTGATCACACCTCTCAATTTTACTTAAGCTCAGTGAGAAAAATCCCAGAGATCCTGTGGATATACCCAGTAGATTGAAGGTTTTCAAACCTGAATGACATAGTCAATCCATGTTCCACATGTGAGTGTTGGGATCAGTCAGTTGACTATTGAGATGTTAGGCAAAGCGACATTCAGCGGAATGTTTGTGCCTAATATGGTGTAACAAATGTGGTTATAATGGGTGTGTACTTGCATGCTGTGTGTCTTGTATCATGGATTTGGGGTGAAGAGTCAACCTGTCATTGAGAAATGAAGTGCATTGCTAACATTGGGCTATTCAGGATGGAGGCAAAGTCTTAGGTGCTGTTTGTTTGCATAGTTACACTTTCACAATCACAAAATCATTAAGGTTGGAAAAGACCTCTGAGAATACCAAGTCCAACCTGTGACCTAACGCCACCATGTCAACCAGACCATGGCACTGAGTGCCACGTTCAGTCCCTCCTGAAACACCCTCAGGGATGGTGACTCCACCACGTCCCTGAGCATTCCATTCAAATGCCTAATTGCCCTGTCTGTGAAGAAATCTTCCTAAGAAATACATGCTACATATGTTCCGTGTTGGTACTAGTAGTCTAGTCACTAGTAGTCTGTCATGATGTGTCCATAGATGGCAACGAAGCCCCACACAGCCAGTCACTCACTCCACCACCAGTGGGATGGGGGAGAGAATCAGAAGGGTAGAAGTAAGAAAACTCATGGGTTGAGATAAAGACAGTTTAATAGGGAAAGCAGAGGCCGTGCACACAAGGAATTAATTCACTGCTTCCCACAGACAGGAGGTGTTCAACCATCTCCAGGAGAGCAGGGCTCTGTCACACATGATGGTGACTTGGGAAGACAAAGGCCATAACTCCCAGTGTCTTCCTGCTTCCTCCTGCTTCCTCCTACTTCCCCTAGCTTTTATTGCAGAGCATGGTGCCCTATGGTATGGAATATCCCTGAGGTCAG